TGTTGTTTTCTATTTCACTACAATGTATTGATGTTATTGATGTGGATGTGTGATTTTCCAGTCATACCTTATCTATTTTGTTGTGCAGCAGGGTGAGATTGGTTGTGACTGAGTCAAATATCTGTACTTGATCCTTCTAGGCGACACTACTCATCACTCCACTTATAGTTTTTTTGTTCTCAGGTTGAGCTGAAGCGTTTTGGTCAGCGGGTTCCCTGTGGCGTGCGTTGGGAGGCGTCTGTCCTAGGCTCTCTAGTGCGTTCATAAAGGTGCGCAGAGCTTTCGAGCGTCGATTGTGCAAGGTTATTTTCCTCTGCTGGCGGTGATTGACTGCTTCATGGATAGGCACTTGTGTCTATTTGCAGTGTTTTGTTGTCGGTCTGCCCTTTAAAGTGGCAGATGTGTTTGCGTCCATTCCCATTGGATACGGAGATATGTACACCTAGGGAGAGAGGTAGGTTTGTCTCCTGTTATTCTGGTTCGAGTGTGATTTTGACAGTGTGTATATTCACTTAGCTTTAACATCGACTAAAAAACAGGGCCTTAGAATTTGTCCTTGTTAATTACACAAACATTGATTTGGTGTTGAGATTGGTTGTGTGCAATGCTGTGTTGTATTGTTCCTCTTCGATTCGGAGAAACAAATAGTTTTGTCAGGGGTATGTTGAAGGTGGGAGTTTGGCAGTTTAACACTACACATACTCCAGAAGATTGCTACCAGCTATTCTATTGGTAGGAACTGACCTGATATTGTGTCTTTTGTTTCTGTTTGGACCCATGGTTTGTTTTTCCGGTGGAGTGGTTAGTTGCTCAAGCTCTGTGATGGTTGGGATACTTTTGTGTTCCAATACTTGGGGATGGCTCATTCCAATATGGTAATGATAGATATAACGTTTTGTCGTAAAAGATATAACGCTGACTGTTTATTTCTATGTTCATGTCTTGTCGTGTTTCTCTTTGAAAGTCATTCACATGATTGCTATTTTCGTAATAATGGGGGATGCGGGTAGATCTTTTTTTGTTTTGATTCGATATTTTGTTTTGTTTGGCATGTTTTTGATCTGCAGTTATATATTTATTTATGTACCTAGTTTCTGACGGTAGATTCTTTTGCTCGGATCGTTGGGTTGAGTCTCATGTATATAGACCGGTTTTTTCTTCTATTTTTGGTTTGAATAGAGAATGTTTTTCTTTTAGGTTGGTGTTGCGTTTGTGGTTGGTCAGTTTGAATTTCACAAGAATATTGTTGGTCAATATATTTTCAGTTTTTGATATTTATGTGTTTTGTTTTTATTAAGCTAGACTAGTACTTGGTGTCTATTTGTGTTGGTTAAGACCTGTCTTTGGGCTGTGTTTGGCTGTGGGTTGTTTCCATCGCTTTTGTGTTTCAAATATCAAACATAAACTAAATTATCCCGTCCGTAACTAAACAAGAACAGCAGTATATTGTTATTTTGTTAACACTGTAACTTCAACAGCTTTTTAACCCAAACCACTACTGGTAAAGCACGTTATACACGTCTGAGTGCAATGCAGGTAGATTGTGTTTCTTTTTAAATGACTGTTTAAAATGCCTTTATCTAATGTATTTTATTTTATTAACTACTTGTTATTGTTGCTAGGTTACTGCTATCGATATATTTCTGTAATGTTGTGTAACTGTTAAATGGTGTTTATCTTTATTGCTACCCTTCCCCGTCATGTATTAGTGTTGGTCCACCAGCGCAAACGTATTAGTTTAACAAAAATCCGCATCTAAAATTTGCAAGAAGCGTACTTTAACTTTCCCCGTGCATTCTCAACATTACTCACATAACACATATTTCCTTGTGTTTATTTATTTGTTTGATTAATAAACACAAGTTGGAAGTCCTCAGGACTAGGGTTGGGTACAGAGAACCGGTTCCGGAACCGTTCCAACATTTCGATTCCCAACGGCATCATTTAGAAATGTGAATTCGGTTCCGCATTTCGATGCCTGAGGAAATATTCTCAACCACTCTCCGTAGTAGCTACTGTATGATGGGCGGGGCGGGAATGTAGGCGTTGTACCTACACTTCCTACGCGTACTTGACCAGGCCGGCCCCCGTCGCACTGGCGTTATAGATGTTCGCCTAGGCCAGATGTGGAGAGCGCTGTCAGTTGGGAGGAAAAAAAAATGTTTGACGTTGGTGTCTCATATTTCGGCCTTGTGGATACACATTCATAATAAGTAAATGTACACTCTTTTCATCCGGTTACACTTTTCATTTGCTCCGATACGATGGGGGCTGTATAGTGGAGAAAATAGGGGGATGTTGGCTTATCTGACACCCGCAGCTCACAGCCAAAGTGCGAGTGACCCCGGGGGGGGGGGAGCCCCCCCCCCCCCCCCCGTCCACACTCAGCTCAAAAAAAGCTTGGAGCTGGGCCGTGTCGAAGCTTGGGGATTTTATTCGAGCACCGCGACCCCGGACAACAATCACATTAATGTCCCTCCCCCGGATAGAAAAAAAAAAACCCCGGGATTTATGCGAGCCAATATATATACTAATTTATATATAATATATATATATATAATATATATCAAATATATATATATATATATATATAATATATATAGTATATATTAATAATATATATGTATATAAACGACATACAAAGCAATAGCAATGTTAAAACGAAGTAAACTGGATATAAACTCCCCAAACAGGCGAAAACCTACCAGTTTCACCCACTGTCTCTGCCACCTCCCTCCATGCCTGGTTCCTCCGGTTTGTATCCCAGTAAATAGTTCTGGTCGTAAAGAACCGGGTGATTTGCTGCCGTAATTTCTCGTTTGCAATATGAGGAAATGAACTGCGGTCTGGCTCTCCCAGCTTGCACACGGTTTGATTGGCTAGCGATTGAACTGTCAGATTTGCATAAACGGGATTTGATTGGCTGACGCTGGCTACTCCGGCGTCTCCGGCTTCAGAAGTTGAACATTGTTCAACTTTTGCAGCCTGAAACGCCAGGAAAGCTCCGCTTTGCTACCCACAATTCAGTTCGGCGAAAAGCGAGGCAACGTGACGTCACCCCATTCAAAGTGAAAGGGCAGACGCGTTGGAAACCGTTTTTGAAGCTGTCGAAGCTGTAGTGTGGACGGGCCACAATGAAAGTATTTTTATCTGGCGCTCTACTCTGCCTGTTAAATCATCCAACATGACGTCGCCGCCGACAGGGCCTGTGATTGGTCGGTCCGTACCAGGAAGTGATGGGCTGACCGTTGACAGCTCTCTTGCACAGTAAGATTGTGTAACCTTTTGGGTATCTAATAAATAATGGCGAGGCTCTGAACCCAGTGGCTCTTGCTCCGCTGTACATTTGTGTCGTCCCCTCTAGCGCTGCGGGTGAAAGGTATTGTTGGCCTCAGAAGTGAATGATAATACGCTGTGTGTTGTGCCTAAATAGCTTAGCACGCTAACTAGCTGAAAACTAGCTTAGTTAAGAGAGGAGTTGTAAGCACCATTAATCCGTTTAACACTCGTGAATGTCGGCTTATGTCCTGTTGTTGCTAACGTTGTTTATCAACTAGACTGTGGGTGAACTTATAATGTACTAGTCTTGCTTACTCAGGCAGGCGACAACGGCACTGCTCACCTCAGGTAGCCGAATTATAATAATTAAACTGTATGTAACTAAGTTAAAGCTATGTTAGCTATTTATCCAGCTGGCTGACCAGACGAGTGCCCTGTTTCTTATCTGACTTTAGCATAATTTAAAGAGTTTATCAGTTTGAAACATTCATTTCAGTAGAACTTTCATCTCGTTCATTTAAATGTGATATATACTCAGAGAAACTTTAAACTGAGTCTGTTCTCACTTTGTGGCGAAGGTATGTTAATAAACCGATATAAAAAGGCGAATTTTGCACAAGCTTTTGCGAATTGGTGGAAGATTTATGTCCCATATTATAGACCAACAGTTAATTATCAGTGGATATGATATGCCATTTCCCTTTTTATTAAAGGCGTCTTAATTTTTATGAAGTTTGAATTAAATTAAGCATTGTTCCCATGGGTTTTGGCCTGGGCTTGAGATGGTTAATGACTGTCTGCCTGTTTCTATTTGACTCGCGCCTCATTACTGATTAACGGGCCTGTCCGCAGATCCTTGCAGCCCGGCTGTGTGAGATGGACCGTGGAGAGGAGTTGCGAGTGGAAGCTGCCCCGTACTGCTGCTCCAGCTGTGACGGAGGGGAGGTGAATGCACGCAGCATGGCGAGGCGCAGCCAAAAGAGGAAGACCCGCAGCCTGAGCACATCCTCCGCCCGCAGCCTGAGCACATCCTCCGCCGGCAGCTCCACTGAACACAGCAGGTAGGAGTGGAACACATGGAGCAAGATGACACGCTTGTTGTTATGCTTGGAGCCCTATGTCACAATAACTAAACAACGTTGCCATCTTTTCCTACATCATGCGTTACACCTGTTGGTTTTCTAGTTAAGATGCACACATAATCAACATTGAAATTGCAGTATGGATTTGTGCAATATCCCAATTGCAGTAAGCGCAATATTTTTTAATGGCAAAATCTTTGAAAATATCAATCTGGATTAAATGTTGTGCAGAGATGTCCAGTCCTACGAACAATATTCTACAGACTTAATAAATGTTAAAAAACCTTGTTTTATGCAAAGCCTCTTTTTAAAAAGATCACACTATGATAAAAAAAAAATGCAGACATAACTTAAATAAAACATACATGGAGATGCTTACATAACAGCACCTGTTGTACATCAGGGTTAATCATTCATGCCCTCCTTGGTCACCAAAAAGACATACCATTTATTGATGCTTCACACTATGATAAGTTTTATATATTTTTGAATAACAATCTGATGTTTCATAAAATGTAATTCCCACAGATATCGCAAAATATATCATATCAGTCAATTATTTACATAATGTATACATATTTGCACACATTTTTTAATATTTGATATACATTTGTTTTTATATTCGGGATTGTGGGAAACAGTATTTCGATCTCTCTGTCTATACACACAAACTGGAAGATTGACAATAAAGTTGACTTTGACTTGTTTATTTATTTCTCAAATCGTGTAGCCGTCCTAGCCAGAGTAGAACAAAACTAGCGTTAACTTACAATTTATAGTCTCACTGGTAAATGTGGAATCTGGACTGCTGTCCCCGGTTGTCTGTCCCTAGTCTTGTGTGAGCTTATCTTTTAAAACAAACATATCTGTATTTGCTGCATCAATGGTAATGTCATATATTTTCAAGCCAGTTTCCAATAATGTGTTTGCCTTGAGGAATAAACTGTCTCCTCATTAAAAGTGGCTTGAAATGATGCCAGTCAGAGGTTAGAAACAGATTTCAAATGTTGTTTGAATATTTAACTCAAAAGAACATGCCTAGGTATGCCTGCTCCTGATGCATAAATAACATACAGGATTACAGGTTACCTGAGGTAACTGCTATTTAATATAAGTACAGCTGCTCTGGCTCAAAGCTGCTTGGGATTTTTTTTACAAACAACTCTTGTGAGATGATTTATGTTGCACCACCTTTCAGACATAAGTTCATATGAGGTCTGAAATGGGTTTTTGCTGTCGATGTTGCAAGGGCTTTATTTACATGTTTTGGCAACAGCGGTGAGGTTTCTTACAAGCAGAAGTGAAAATGCGTTGGCCTTTGGTAACACGTCTTTAAAGTACCAATCAGGACTGTCCCAATGATATTTCGTCTGTCCAGGCTGTTGAAATCAACTCCCACACATCCAATATTATTGAGTATGAGATCCTAATATGGCAACGACACTCATATTTTTGACATTAACAGAAAGCCGTTGTCGTGGATTTAAGTAAACAAACAACTGTTTAAGAATTGGAAGAGGAAGGTCATACATTTAAGTGACATGGTGATAAAAAGGGCAGTTACTCAAAAAAACTAACATTAGGTTAGTGGGTTTCCCCTTAAATATATTTGATCTTCATCCAGCACCCTAAAACTGTGATAGTATTAGCTTTTGGTAATAATTCAATTTGGTAAAGACTTCAAGCTTGAGCAACTGGACGTTAGGTTATGTGACTAATGCCAATAGCTTCCTTTGTTATCACCTTTAAGGTTATTTTATATTGCAGTGTTACAATTTAGTTCATATCCAAAAACAAAACATTTAAGATGCCTTTTTCCCACTATTCATTTAACAGGAAAGAAAAAACATGTTAAAAATGATTGCATAATTATTGGTATAAAAATAATTAAGAGGTGTAGCCTTGGTTTCTGCTAAAATACATTTACATACTAATTGTGACATGCATCTCTACCTTATTTCTGATTTTTTTTTCAGAGTTGTTTGTCCTTATTGTTATTGAGTTAGTCAATGTGTAAATGTTAATGCTGTTTTAAAAACATGAACTCCACTGAAGGACTGACAGGTACACTTTTCTGAACTGTCTTGCCGTATAAATGTTGTTATAAGTTAATTATTAGCAAACAACTATTCATGTGAATATGTTGAATTGCATTGTCCCTATAAATACAATTCATAAACAGTTTCCCACTGTCATACATGATGGACATTCAGCCGCATCATCAGCCAATTGGAGACTTCTCTCTGGCCTCCTGTCCAAACCCAAAACAAAAAGCTGAAAGAGGATAAACTCAAATTCTTATTTATGATAATAATCCTTCGTGAGCAACACCCTTCACATCATAGTCGTTTAATTTACCGTTAAAATGAGAATATTTATGAATGAGGCAGTAAACAGCAGATGGTGAGTTCTCAGATTCAGACAGCTAAGAGGATTTATCGGCTGAGTAGAGTGACAGAGCGTAAAGACTTCTGTAGTTAGTGGCATGTAGCACTGCCTCACAGCTCCGGGTCGACCTTTCGCAGTTGATAATCATATTGTAGACGGGCTGTGCTGTGCAGACATCCGAGTGTTCTATAGGGCTGTTATCCATCAGTTATGGATAAGAAAAACACTGCTCTTGTGTTTAACTTTGCAACCAGAGCTTAATCAATATTGTTGAATTCAACGGCTGCCTATCAAAACGTGTCAAATACTCTTCAAATACTTTGCTGATGCAACGTTTCACCTCTCGCTTTGCTGCCCTCAGATTCATTTTAAATAACTTGTTGTAATAGTGTTGAGTAGGCTGACCTAATGTCATGAAAATCAGGTTCAAATTATTCTCCCTCAATATTTTGATAAGGTAACTTATTTTACCAGGCGGCGAGTACGCAAATGTATCATTGGCTTTTAGTTCCTGTGAAAAGGTCCGCAGATTATGCAATAACTGAACGAACCCTAACTGTTAATCGTTAAAGGTTTTATTACATCATTTACTGACAATGCCGTTTGCAATGCAGCCAGAATAGATAAAAGTGTTTGTTTTTAAAACATTTCACAATGCATTATCATTGACACAGAATGGGCCACATTTTTCAGCACCAAAGGTTACAGCGTTTAATTGTAATTAATCCTTAAGATAGAAGGGTTGGTTGAACCACATTGTATCAAATAAGCTTGTATCTGCACGTGATCAATTGAGTCTTGGAAATTCCAAGGCTCAGACTCTTTCTCTAAATGTCTCACTGCTCTATCCTCACTTCTCTTTTTTTGTCCTGAAAGGAAAGTTATTTGATTAGAAATTGTTCATAAAGAGTCATTTAGAACAGGTTCCTGTTTTAAATAGCGTGCACTTTCTTGAACAAATTGTGCCGGCTATGGTTTGCAGACTTTCCGGACAGCATTTGATCTCTCTCCAACCTGAATGTATGCCTTTGTCGTCCTCTCTCTCAGGAGGAATCAGTCCCTTCATGGACCCAGCCCTGTGACCACATTCGGCCCCAAGGCATGCATGCTCCAGAATCCTCACACAGTAATGTAAGTTATGCTTCTAGATTATAAGTAGTGTTTGTAAGCTTGTCTTTTTATTTCCAAGTCACATGTCCTTGAACATGCATGAAACAGCCAGTTGATGTTGTTTTTGTGTCTTGTTGTGCGACATGCTTTTTGTCACTTCTTTTGAACATTTTAACCTGAACGGTCAGCTGTCAGATGACTCTTAACTTCTTTTTTGACTTGCTCTTAAGGCCTTAACATCGCTGAAATAGTGAAACTCAAAAAAACTTCAAATTGTGCTTTGATAGAAATAGAAATAGTACAAATTTTCACAGCTATTGCTAGCAGAAGTTCAGAAAAACAAATGCCTGTCAAATTAACGGTTTGGACATCTTGTCATTTATCTTGAACAACACGCTTCCTTTCTACTAAAGGTTAAAGGTAGGGTAGGTAAGAATGGAGAAACCAGCTCGAGTGCTCTAGAATTTGAAAGTACACAACCGGAAAAAATCTGCCCCTTCCTTCAGACTTCCTTAAAGAGCCCCTCCTCCAACACACACGAACGCGCACATGACCAATGAGGGCACGAGATACGTTTGTGCACAGATGGAAGGCTGACAGGCAGGTAGGCCATCCAGTCATTTTAATCGGGCCGGCTA